GGCACAAAGCAGATGCATGTCGGAACGGAGTGAGTCAAACTCACCAGGTATCTTGTGTGCAAGCGGCACCGAAATCTGATAATAATGCCGTCACCGATGGATTCGTAGAGTTGAAGAATGGGGAGAAAATTTCTATTGTGGGTGCTGTAATGTCAAAACAGCTAACCGGTGTTGCGAAAGGAATGCCAACGCTGCCTGGAAAAGTTGCGGGCAAAAAGATTACGGTGTTAAGAGATACCGGCAGTTCCACTGTTATCGTGCGGAGAAATTTGGTACGGGAAAGTGATTTGACAGGCAGAACGAAACCGGTTTGCCTAATTGACCGTACGGTTCGGATGCTTCCCGAAGCAGAAATTGAGGTTGAAACCCCGTACTTCAGCGGGAAGGTTACTGCTTTATGCATGACGACTCCCCTGTATGACCTTGTCATCGGAAACATCGACGGGGCGCGAGGGCCAAGTGATCCAGAATGTTTGGGAGAAGACCCGAAGATAGAGCCCTCGCCAACACAGCGGCCGCGAGATACAGTGGAGGAACATCCCGTGACGGATCTCGCTAGAGCCCAAGGTGAAGCTGCGGCGCAAGAGACAGCGAAGGAGAAGACGATCGTGTCGAATAAGTTCACGGGCCGAGCAACCGGACTTACGTCGGCACGACCTCAACCAACCGACAGTGTAAAGGAGACGGAGTTGGCCAGCCGGGCAAAATGTAGAGGCATGATCAAGCGGGTAAATAAACAGACAGGATCCGTCGAATGTAATGACGCGTTAACGGTGTCGGAAGAGACAACGATGGCTGAGACGACGCCTCAGATATCGTCGTTCGAAAGGGCTCGCCGAAGAAGAACGTGGAAACACAAGAAGAGATCGAGCGAGCACCGCAAAAAGGGGTGCAAGCGCTGCTCGAAGTACACAGGATAGGTGCGGAGGTGGAATCGGAATCTGTCTGGCAGGGCTGAGTGACATATGTTGTGTTCTTGTTATCCTGTGTCTCAAGTGTATGTCGAGCGAGTCAAAGTGTTCTGTGCGATGATGTGATGTATAGTGTTGTATAATCGTTGTAAAGACAGAACTTTGTACGTTTGTATTGTTTGGAATGTGTGATGAAGTGTTGTAGTCATGTACCTGAGGTTATATTTCATGTGTATGAGATTGAATGTAATATTGTGAATGTGAAGTGTCATGAGCGACGGATTGTGCTACAGTCGGTGAGAGTGTGTGGTGACTTTTCGCGCTCGTTCGTTTGTGTGGTCTTGAATATTATGAGATAATATTCTTAAAGTGGGGGGCAGTGTCACAGAACGAGCGCTAAAAAAGGGCGTGACGCCAAATTCTTGCGATAACGGGCGGGAGAAACGCCGCGAAGTCAAAAAGAAAAAAAAGGAAAGAAAAAGAAAACAAACGGCCAAGGCTCCCCGGGCGCGCGCTCTCCCCGCAGAAGCGTGGCTTCATCGACGAACCTCCTCACCCCACAACGGCGGCCGAGCAAGCCCATGATTTTTCTAGAACGAAGGAGGCGTGGCCACGCCGAGATGAGTCATCCGACGCGGAGGGCAGTCGAACCGTCTCTCGCCTCTCCCCAGCCTTCGTTGCGCATCGCGCGGACGAAATGAGGAGAACTTTCTGGAAGGTGGCGCGGAAGGTATTTAATCGAGCAGCCGAGACGAGAAAGCAGGAGGAGACGGAAGTGAACGCCAGAGCGCGTAGGGATTCCGCCGTGTAGTCGGCGAAGTTTTTGGTCCGAAGGGACGAGGCCGGAGGTGAAGAGGATTTCCACCTGAGGGGTGACGACTCGAGCTACCGGCAAGAGTGTGTGTTTACCGCTATCGAGCGAAGACGCGGGGCAACAGCTGCGTGTGTGAAGCCGACGTGTTCCGGCGAAGAAGTTGAAGTTGGAAGAGTGGCCAATTGAAGACGGGAGGTTTCCTGGAAGAGAAACTTCGAGAGCTGCGGAACGACAACAACGCTGGACTTTGAGTGAGTGATTCTCGGAAGAGTATCATCTCGACTTTGGTTCCAAGAACTTTGGACTGAATAGGTTTTCTATCTCTTTAGTCTTTAAGTGTCTTGGTTGTTCAATGCATGCGACTGCATTGTAGTGCGTATTGCTGTCCGTGTCCGTTGTTTCAAGTGTGGCTGATTGTATTGTGTAGTACGTTGATTGATTGGTTTGATTGGTGACATATTGTATGCAACTATCGTGGAGTGTGCATTTTCGTGTATTGTTTTCGATCTGCCAATTTTGAGAATATAATTTGTTTGTTTATCAACTCTCGGCTCTGACTTGTTCTTTGGGCCACAGCCGGCGTCCTCTGGCGCGCCCAAAAGGACCACTTCTAAATTGTCCACGCTTTCGTGGTGCGGTTCGGGGGGCCGATACTTCGGCCCTTGGAATTAGCCCGGCGATTGCCTCCCTAATTAACGGGACCGGTATGACATCGTGGCGGTTTTTTTTTCATCTACCTAATGTACTGTCCAATCAAAGGACAAGCAGGTGATTATTTGCTGAGAGTGTTGTAAGGGCGGAGCGCCAGGAGGGGATAAGAAGAGGCCCCGAGGCTCCGCCAGGTGTCCTAAACCGAGCTTGCGGTGTTAGGCACCATCGGCTCCGCCGAACCCCGTGGGGTCGCCCTACAGAAGTCGGTTCATTTCCAAGTTGTTTTTCTTTTCTTTCTTTTTTTATAACATTGATGTCCATTGTTTTGTAAAAATCTGTAAATACAAGTTTTTCTCAGCCATCTAGAACTTCTTCAGCGTTGCTTTTGCTTCATCGTCAAGCGACCAGCAGACCAATAGCCGCTATTGGGATAGCGGCGTACGTTTCTTCTCCCACTTTGCCACACCACCGCAGGTGGTGCGCCTCGGGCACCGAGTGGGGACAAGTGGTTTCTTCTACATCGAGAAGAGAACCTGATTTTACTTCACCTAACACGTCTCCGCACCCATTTTGGTGACTCCTTGCGCTCTGCACTTCTCCCAAGTCACCCCTAAAGCTTTCCCGTATGAAGTCAAGGCCACGTGCACGTGTTTATCACTCACTTCATGCAGCAATCAATGTAGCTTCAAGCAAACCTCGGGGTTTTTTGGGTCGATGAGCAAACATGGGCGATCCTTTACATTTATGTCAACAGCAGAGAGCAGTGTCTGAGCATCACACCGCCACGGTGGTCTAGTGGCTAAGGTACTAGGCTGCTGACCCGCAGGTCATGGGATCCAATTCCGGCTGCAGCGGCAGTATTTCCGATGGAGGCGGAAATGCTGTAGGCCCGAGTGCTAAGTTTTGGGTGCACGTGAAAGAACCCCAGGTGGTCGAAATTTACGGAGCTCTTCACTACAGCGTCTCTCATAATAATACGGTGGTTTTGGGACACTAAACACTACATAATTTGATATGTGTGGTTTAACACCACATAATTTGATATGTGGGGTTTAATGTCCCAAAACCACCATACGAATATGAGAGACACCGTAGTGGAGGGTTCAAGAAATTTCGACCACCTGGGGTTCTTTAACATGTGCCGAAATCTGAGCACACGGGCCTACACCATTTCCGCTTCCATCGGAAATGCAGCCGCCAAAGCCGGGATTCGATCCCACGACCTGCGGCTCAGCAGCCGAGTACCTTAGCCACTAGACCGCCGCGGTGAGGCGTAAACCCCACATATCGACCAATCAATGTCTGAGCGTCGATATCACTTGTCGTCACAGCCCACACATGGTTCATGTGATACGCCCCCAACGCCCAAACATCGTGCGCACACCAAGTGCCGGGTAAGGCCAAGGTTTTCGATTACCATGCATAAAAACCACGTTAGCAACGATGTGTCCGGTAGACAGATTGAGCAAAATAACCTGATATTCGTCAGAACAAGGCCCGAAAACCCTGTTTCCGCGGCCCGCACGGGCCTCTGAAGCCGCTTGGTCGAGCCAAAAACCCGCGGCCGTATCCCTCGAAAGCCGTAGGTGGAATCGACATGGCCGCACGTGGGCTTTTGAATACAGTGGAACGAACTTGATCTGCTTGGAAATGCAGTGAAAGTAGATTTATAGCTTTACAAACAGGCGCGTCATGTACATATGCTATGCTTCACAATGCAACCTGAAATATTGCAGTAAGGATGCGTGTACAAGCAACCATTATCATGCAGTAAGCGGTAGAACACGCTATTATCATAACCGTGTTGTGGTCTAAAGCCGTTAGTCCCCGAAAAAATTCACACGTGCTATACGACGCCTATTTTTTTAAGCCCACGTGGTGTGTGTATAGCAAGTTTGGAAAAGTTTCGTGGTGTCTGAAGTACGCGCTAGGCACACGATATCGATATCACGTTCAACTCCTGAAGGCGACGCTTTAAGAACCCCTAATTTGTGTTAGTATCCACGCTGATGTACCTTTGCGGGTTCTTCGTTACGTGGTTTCCTCAATACGAGGCTACTGCGCCGTGTCAGCCGTGCATAAATGCTGTGTGCAATAATGCATATTTAGTTATGTGCGGAATGGCTGGCCTATAAGATTGAGTGCAACGGCTGGAGTATCGACGAGACTTTCGAGCCCCTCAAGTGCTATGGACTATCTTTGGACAATAAATACTCGATCGGCGAGCATCTCCAGACCAGCTAAATCAAAATATCTTCACAGTGCGTGAGATCTGTGAACAAAAGTTACAAAATGCGGCGACAGTGTTGTGGTGATCTGTGATCTGCCGTCTGCGACATCGAACTCGAAATTGTTACAACAATGTCAGCGGCATCAAGAGTGGGCTTGCTGTTCCGCTTTGAGATCCCACTTACGATGTCTCTTTATGAGTGGGCTATCGCCTATAGGGCTAAGTTTTTTATATCAAATGCCTTTCAGCTAACCTTTGACCTTAACTTCTCTCGTCATACTCTTTCTATACTCGTCTCGTTTTTAATGTTCTACGCTCTTGACTGAAAGCTTCTGTAAATTCAAGAACTTTTATTGACGTGTAAATGTGTGCAAAATATGTAAGACAGACAAAATTGAACTAATGTATTGTAGAATTTATTTCACAACAATGACAGTTTTAGTTTCAGACAATTCAGCACACAAGTCGTGCTTCTAGCAAGTGCCATAAAATTATGACCACACTTAGTCCCTCGTTGGACTGTGCGGCTTAAGCTAGCTAACATCTTTATGTTCTTTCCTTTATTTTCTTGTGGCTGCTAGAGCAAAATTTATATCACTAGAATCAACCATACACAATGGTATGCAGTGATGCAGCAAGAAATACTTTGTTATCAATTCTGTAGAGTTTATAAGGCACGTATGTTCTTGCTCTTTCATGATGGATAGCTGTTTCGAACATGAACATCTGTCATACGTGTGGATGGTAGTCTATACACTAGTTGAAGAGTATGGTACTTGCGTTTCGAGCAATCCGTTCGTGGACTGATTCCTTTAGTTTTTCTACAGGCAAAAATACAAACGCAAGATGATATGACAAAGGAGAAAAATAATTACTTCATGCGATCTTAGCTCTATAGCAAGTCACGAGTACATCTTCCACAAAAAAAACACAATTCTACCATGAGAAATTGCTACCATGATAAACAGTGATTCTGCATCACAAATTACAAGGCACGTCTTAAAAAGAAAAACAGTTCACAGAATGCAAAACACATAGTCTGTCTTTTCAGGCATTAATGCAACATCGGGTACCGTAGCTTCACCAAAGCGTAGTCAACTGTAGTGAAAGCATAGAGGTTTTAAGTTTTTCAGTGAAAATTGTGTTGGTGGTCTGCCGAGGACGCGCTTCACCGGCGTTCCTTCAAAGCTAGAAATCTTACAATAAAATCTCAGGACCCCATCGATTGAGCTCCACTCTGTCGCCTTTGTAACCAGAAGCACATTTCCCTTTGTACAGTGGTTCATCTCGACTTGGCACGTGTTGCACTGCTCCGCAGTTTCTTGGCGTTTGCGAGGCTCTTCGCACTGACTAGCCGTGTTGACAAGTGTGCGAGAAACACTCATGCAGACTCGTTAGGCGACGGCTCCTCATCACCCGGCATTGAGCAGTCCACGCTCCCCTCGAAATCGCAGTTGCCCGTCTTAGCGTTGAACAGCAGGCCTCCCTTGCAGTAGTGCGAGAACGTCTGGCCACCGTGGCAGCGATAGAAGACGTGGCAGCGACGGGCCACGTCCGGGTAAAAACCGTCCGGCAGTTGATCGCACTGAAAGTGAAATCCAGGAGGCACGCCATGGGCATGATGCCTGCGGGAAAACGGCGTCTTTGACGTCGACGTTCTCGACGGCTTGCAGTTCACACAGCCTCGGTGACGAGGGGGCGCACAGGTCACCTTATCCGGCACATCACACATCTGTTTGATGGGGCTGAATAGGAGACCTTGCGGGCACTCGTAAGTCTTGCTTTTACTTTTCGTACATACATGGTACCTACGACAGCCAGATTTGAAGTCAGCGAAAACACCTGTCTTCACGCACTTAATGCGACGCTTTCGCGTCGCACTAAGATGTTGTTGTGGGAAAGGAAGCAAGGTGACGTCTCCGAGCGCAGTTGCTGGAAGTGGCGCCCCAACACCTGAATATCCTGGGGAAGGTTTAGAGCTCACGGAACCACTTTGTCCAGTAGGTGTCTCAACAACCTTCGTTGACGCTTCTAATTCTGGAGCAGGAGTTGGCTTGCCATCATAACTTTGTTCCTGTGAAGGAACTGAAAGTGACTTGCTGCCGAAACCTTGCTCTTGTGAAGAGACTGGATCTGGCTTGTTGTCATAACTGTGTTCTTCTGAAGGAACTGGATGTGCCTTGCCATCATACTTTTGTTCTTGCGAAGTGACTGTACGTGGCCTGCTGTCATCAGTTTGTCTTTGTGAAGAGACTGGAGGTGGCATGTTGTCATGGTTTTGCTCTTTTGAAGGCACTGGAACTGTCTTGCTGTCATAACTTTGCTCTTGTAAAGGCACTGGACGTGTCCTACTGTCATTGGTTTCTTCTTGTAAAGCCACTGGAGGTGGATTGTTGTCGTGACTATATTCTTGTGAAGGCACTAGAAGAGACTTGCTGTCATAACTCTGTTCTTGTGGAGGGACTGGGCGTGGCCTTTTGTCATAAGTTTCTTCTTGTAAAGGCACTGGAACTGGCTTGCTGTCATGACTTTGTTCTTGTAGAGGGACTGGACGTGGCCTGATGTTATAAATTTCTCCTTGTAGAGGCACTTTAGGTGTATCGCTATGATAACTTTGTTGCTGTAAAGACACTGAATGACTCGGTGCTTCAGTTGTGGCTCTTGTCGGTTCCCTCACTGGTTGTTCGGTCTGTGACTGTATCGGTGGCAGTATCGGTTCTTGATACGCAACCTGGGATGGTGTTTGTGCTGCCCATGACTTCTTCAGTGGTGCTACTGTCACTGGGACGTTAGCCACCACTGCTTGCATAACTCGTGCGTGCCCCACCCTCGTGTGTGATGTTCGTGCTTGGGTGACCCGTGCTTGCGTAACTGGTGCTTTTGTGACTGTTGGTGTACCTCGTGCCCGGGAAGCCTGAGACCGTGTCGCGTCCCAAGTTGGTGCTCGCGTAGCTGCCCATTTAGGTGCTCGTGTCGCAGCCCACGCCCCGTCCCACGAGTCTGACCACGTAGTTCTGCGTGTATCCGCTCGGGCCGTTCCTCTAGTTGTCGCTCTTGTTGTCGCAGATACCGGAGCCGGTGTGGTTAACTGTGAAGCTCCAAGCAGGGTTTGGCGTGTTGTGATTCTTTCAGTGGTCACAGCAGTAGTAGGTTGCGTCGTTTCTGTGGTAAATTTCGCAGTCGTTTCTGGCGCAAACTCCGAGTAATAGTCTGTTTCGTATTCGACGACATAATCTGGTGTGCTTCCCTGTGTAGTTACCGTAGTGCTGGCCTGCGTTGTCGACGGTGTAGTTTCTGGTGCAAGCTCTTTTATATTCTGCGCTGTAGTAACCGGAGGCACTGTACCTGTTTCTGGTAAACTCTTTGGTATCGCTTCTGTTTCATAGTCCTTGATGAAAGGAGGTACAGTTACTGGCGTATCGTCCAGACGAGGCAGGGGCACACCCTCTGGAATTTTTCTTGCAACTAGTCCAACGGCCGGTTCTGGAACACTTTCTGGCGTAGTCACTGGCGTAGTTTGTCTCGCGACGCCGGCTGGGACTTCAGGGGCATGTTCTGGCGAAATGTCTGTGTAGTAATCGTCGTAATCTGGCTGCGATGCCGGCGGATATTGTAGGTGCTGGGGCTGGTGTCGTCGTTGTCGATGTCGTCGTGGTCGTGGCCATCGTTGTTGTCGTGGTCGTAGCCACAGTAGTTGTCGATGTGGTAGGTCGCGCCGTCGTAGAAACTGGCCTTGTAGATTCCACAGGTGCTAACGTAGTCGAGCGCGCAGGTGCTCGCGTAGCAGGCCCAACTGCCTTGCCATGATGCGGCCCATGTAGTTCCTCTCGTTGCCGTACGACCGCTTCCCCTCGACGACGCTCGTGCAGTTACAACAGCCGGCGCAGATGTCGTTAGCTTAGTCGTGTACTCCGTTGTCGTTCGTCGGGTGGGTTCCACCGTGGATGGAGGTGCACTCGTTGTTGTACTAGTCTCTGTTGTGGTAACAGGGGCGTTCAAGAGGGCAGGCGGCTGCGTCCCCGAGAAGTGCCGATCTACGTGACACAGAACCGAGCTCGAGCAAAGGAGAAGCACGGGGTTAAACCTTGTACCTGTAGGGCAGAGCATGATCCTTTTGCGGCCTCCTTCGCATGAGTAATACCTCGCGCAGTCGTGGCCCTGATTCTCGTCAGGGTGCAAGCCATCGCGTCTACCGTCACAGGTGAAGTCATCGTCAGCATTCTCTGGAAGTGCCAGGTCGGTCACGTCGGTGCCACGGTCTATGTCACAGGCGTTCCTCTCAGTGTCGAAGACCGTGCCAGAGGGACAACGGAAATTGAACGCTCCAGCGGGAGTACACACGTGGAAGTCCTGACGGTCGATGGACGGCAGAACCTCAGCAACTTCTCCACAGTCGACATCGAAGTCTGTGTCGTTGATCCTTACGACAAGTCCGGTGACAGATATAGAGGCCCGCGGCCTCAGCGCAGTCTCGGTACAGCCGACTGTAGGGCGGCAAATCATCCTCTCGGGGTCGAATGAGTGACCCTTCGGGCATGCGTACGAGACACCCTCGGAGCCAACGCACTCGTGCCAGAATCTGCAGCCGCTGCTCTCGTCCACGAAGAGTCCAGGTGAGCCCTCGGGGCACCTGCGAGGATGACACAGAGTCATGAAAGGTGTCTGAAAACACGTTTCTAGATTTGCTTCAATTTTCAACATCTATTAATGTTTTATACGTCCTAACAGCGCGAAAAACACGAACAACAAGAAGATCATAGGCACACCGCCGAAACGTCTATAGTTGACCCGTAAATGTTTTTCTTGTCCTAGTTTAGTCTACAACAGTGCTGTGCTGTTTATTAGACTAAAATCAGAGTTTTTGCTAGCCCTGAAAACAAGACTTAGTATTATCTTCGTGCCGTCACAATTTACTGCCCCTATCGGCGGTTCTTCGTTGAGGTTTCTGTAGAGTTTTTATCTTTATTATATACAGGCATACAGCTTGTTCACATTCTAGAATTCTGTCAAATAATTAAAGAGGTCAATATAGCGTAGAGAAATTTTCATGCCCACAACAGAACTCTTACATGATAAGACATATGCTCGGGCTAGTTGCTGATTGGGAATCAAAATCAGGAGGCTCTACATTTCCACCTAAAAACTTGCCTTCACGCCTCTCTTATAAAATAATTGATTGTTATGTACGGTTTAGCGTCCTAACAGCACTATATGATTGAGAGACGCCGTTGAGGAAGGCTTCGGAAATTTTGAGCGCGTGGGGTTCTTTAGCATGCATGAAAATCTGAGCACACGGGCCTACAGCATTTTTGCCTTCATTGAAAGTGCAGCTGCTGTGCCGGGATTCCATACCACGACCTGCGGTTCACCAGCCGAGTGCCATAGACATTATATCCCCTGTACATTACATCAGCGCTACGTGGCAAGCATCGGCGCATTGTACACTTCTCTACATATTGTTATTGATGTCGCTTCTCTTTCTTCCGCATTTTTTTTTCAACTTTTTAGATAAGAACATATTTTGTACACGCACAATTACCGCAAACAAATGGCTGCTTTTCGAAAATCTCCCTTTTTTTTCTCTCTCTCTCTCCCTTTTAGCCGCTGTTTCTAAGCATAATATGCTACCAACCATCATATTTATTTACTGTGTTTCCAGATTCGCTGCTCATACATGAAAACACACCTGTAAATATTTATTTGCGTATGAAGCTTCCGATGTGATTCTACAACAAAATGGTTGTTTGGGTTGGTTGGCAGAAGATTCTTGATGAAGAAAGCCGCCCCCTCCACACATCACGAAGCAACCACACATGCTTCACAGGCAGTGGGAGGCATGGCTTGCGGACGAGGACAAGCAGAGCCAAATAGCTTTGCTTGACCAGGTCCAGCGAGCCGCTCGTGCCAGCGGAGCCCTGGACTGAGGGCCCGACCAAACTGCCTGCATTTCAATTTTTTTTTTTCTGAATAAAGTTTCTTCCTCCTCCTCCTCCTATTTTTTGACTGAGCAGAATGATTGATGAAAATCGAGGAAAAACCACTTTGTGTTATCTTGAATTGCCCTATTTTCAAGCGTTCTCTGCATTAAAGAATGTCTTCCTTTTCACTTGTGTGTTTCTGTCTAACGGCACACACCACAGGTCGATAGAGAGAGCGAAAGAAAGAAAGAAAGCCAGCGAGGTTAACAAGCGCTGAGCCTGGTTCGCTACCCTGCACTGGGGAAAGAGGAAGGAGAAGGAATGTTTAAAAGGAGAAGATGAACGCACAAGTGTATTCTCTGTGTCTACGTGCATGTATCATATGGGTTTAGGTCTTTCCATATGGGTTTAGGTCTTTGTGCCTGATTCCACGTACTTGAAGGTACCGACGACGCGCGGAGGACGGCATGGCGTTGAGGCATCTTCGACGCAGCGACCGAACTCAGTGTCGTAGCTTAGGCCACCGCCGCAGTCTTGGACGACTTCCAGGCCATCGGCGCAGATGCGGTAGCTGTAGCACGATGTTCTATAATCAGGGAAGACACCTATGCGCCCCTCGCACTCGTACTGGCCGTAAGAGACGCCATCGTTAGCCGATACAGGTCCCTTTGTCTGACAACCGTGAACGGTGGGGTCAAAGACGGATCCCTCAGGGCAGGACGATGTTGCCACCTGCGCGAAAAAAAAACATGAGCCATGTATTGACAAAATATACATCTTGCACTTATAATGTGCAGCCATTTGGTGCTTTTGATTTTAGTTCAGTGGACAGGGCATCTTTTCTAGTCGACGTCGGAACAACCAACGCCGATCTGCCACGTTTACACAAGAAACAGTTCGATACCAAGCAAGAAGGATAAAAAGCAGAATAAGAAAGCAAAACTTCACACATTTAAAGATAACAAGCCTGAAATTATTAAGGCATGTGGTAAAATCCACAAGGTTTTTCTTCGTTCATGTTTTTATTTCATTTTATTCGCTTATGATGTATTTCCTAATGATTATCATATTATGTTTGCTATATACCCCGTAGCGATAGAAGGTCTGCGCCAACGACGTGGTCGACTTGTGTCTATGACTCTGTGTTTTAAGTCGAACCTCACTGCGTCGAAAATCAATTTAGAACCAACCTAGCATCTCCTAGCCAAAGTCTAGCAACAGGAGCAACCAACTTAGTTTTCAGAGTCCTTCATTTTTGCTGTTTCAAGCCTTGCGTCGCTTTGTGAAAGCTGCGCCGGCTTTCACAAAGAGAGGAAACTAGTCGCTTTCTTGTCTACTTCTTCGTTTCCTGTGTTTGTTATTTTACTGTTTGGATTTTTTGCTGAGGCTTTCTTGCAACTTAAGGCATTTTTGTGAACGCGGGCCACTGTTAGTAAACGTAAGTGCACGCAGTTTGTTTCGCTGGCAGGTCATTTACATAAAATAGCCAGAACAATCCAGTGCTTTTCCTTTTTCCTCGTTTTAAAGCTTCTGATCTTTGTCTATGATACGAGGGCAAACAATGCACGTCAGAACTGCAAGCAAGAGCAATGTTCAGAAATACTTCGGAGACGCGACAGCTAAAAATATCTCGTAGATAATTTCGTCTAAAGGGAGGTACATTACTTGACGCTACGTGGACCATGAAAACCAAGTGAAATGCCCAACCGATTGGCTACACCTCATGTCAGAAAGGAGGCGAGGGTCTTCTAGTGGTTCAAGAGAAGGACACAAAAAACAAGGCCACAGATAATGCAACCACGTACACGGTCAAGGAGCAGCGAACACAATGTGCTATCGTATTACGATGGGACATCGCTTGGATACGATAGGGCCTACCGGATCATCGCCTGCCACGAGCGCATCAGCTTAACTCCAGCGCCTTTTTATGTCACATTTTTTTACCGGTGCCCTCCTTCACTCCAGCTTATCGTCTAATACGCTCACTCCCGTATTCTAGAACGTCCCTCCACTCCGTGCTTCACCTTTAATTGAGAAGGCCGATGGGAGCGCCGTCTCTAGGCAGGGAAAGTCACTGCATATCAGCGATAATCTGCCGCGATTCTTGAGTGGCGCAGCGTCACTTTCAGCGAAGCATTGGCACAGTGCTCAACTGTCAAGTGAAGGGTGAAAGTCGACTCGAGGAGCGTTTGTGAATATGGGGGTCATGCACATTCCAATTCATCGGATTTGGTGTTTCTGACATTTTCTCCTGCAGCGACAGTGCACAGTGATTACAGCAGTAATTACAGCGATTGCAGCAATGTCGCTGCACGTTACAGTGCTTTGTAAAATACAGAACATTGCAGCGTTGTAGTTAATGTTCCGCAAGTGCAACACAGCCTTGAAAAGTCAAGAGCCATTCATTGTCCCAAATGCGTCAGGCGTGCCTCTCATGGCTTCTTTTTGTTGTTTTCTCGCGCTTTCCCCTCGTAGCTGTTATAAGCTTCATGCTGCTCTCTCTGCTTCTTAGTCTATGCATTTTACATGAGCCGATTGTTTATGTTTGCTTCGCTCATGGCGTTTGTACCACTTCGTCGTATGACATATGCGTCGAACACCATGTCCTTGAAAATGTCAGGGCACCAGCCAGGAAAGAAAGCACTGCACTCGTAGCATGCACTGATGATAATTAGACGCAAGTACCATGGTGTATTTCACTGCCCGCAAGCTGCCCAGTTTTTAAATATGCTGCTTTTCGATCTCCTGAAACCACAGTACTGTTTAACGTGTCACGTCAAGCAAAACCCACCTGGAAGCACTACTCCCTATGAAAATGCGCCTTCAGGTATTTTCCAGACATAAGACCTGGCCGATATGACTTTTACTTAACGACGAATAGAGCTCGTGTTGGGCCGCTAAAGGCTACCTCGGTATGGCTAAAGTAATAAATAGCGACTAGCGTAGGTACTTGATAAATGAGTTGCCGCTATGTAAAAAGAAAGAATCAGAATTCTTTATAAAGACTGCTATCTTTGGTACACGCAACCAAATGAGCACAACGAATACTTAAGCCAAGAAAAACATTTGGGTCAATATTCTTCGTTTCCTTAACTCAAGCGTAATTTTTGAGAGATACATTTCAAGAAAAAACCTGTAAAAAGCTACCCCAATTTTAAAAAGATCAGTGCCATGTGACACCCTCTTGCTAAAACGGTGTTCCTCTCTCGCCGATTTAGCTACAAGCGCCACTGCCTAGGATTATACGAAAAGACATACGAACCAGCAGTGGGTTGGAAAACGGCTTGCATCAGGTCACAGTGGGTAAATTAGCAGACGCGTAATTTTCACGTTGTGAGTTCAGATGTCACCGAAGGAAATGGTACTTATCCGCCCTCTTTCCCTACTTGCAACCTCTATCGTAAATATTACACTTAAAAACGACGAAACGATGAAAAAAAATCGATTACTGGCGAGTAATGGAGATGTTGGTAGACGCAATGTTCATTCGCTTCCTCTTTTTTATTATCGATAATTTCCAGAATAATCCCTGAATAGCTGGTGCAACGTAAACACCGCTGCAAAGAGGATCCTGAATAGCATCCCCATGAACGCTGGGCGAATGTGTTCGGTTTCAGCTTGCGTTATGTGGCATGCTTTCCTGCACTATTTGCACCATGCACCTTTGACGAACGCAGATGCAACAAACCTTGACGTGTCCTAGGCATGCGTAGAAGGAGTCTGCTGTTGCGCCTGGGTAGACACCATCGGCGCGACCTACACACTCCTGCGTCGGCGTACTCTTCGGCGAACGTGCACTTGACGTCCCCAATGGGGCGGCAGGACAGCCTGTTGGCGTCAAAGGCCATGGCTTTGGGGCAGCTACCCACTTTGAGAAGGACGCCGTCCCGGCACACGGCGAACTCTCGGCAACCGGTCAGCGGGAACAGACCGTTCGATCCAGGGGGGCATGTGGCGTCGGGCACTTCGCAGGTGGCCCTGTTGTGGAGTGTACGAGGGTAGAAGCTTATCAACTTTCTTTTTACAAGTGTAAAGCTTATCAACTTTTTTTTTTTACTTTACAAACAGCAACACGCGATCCATCTGCGTCAGGCACAATTTGACATTAAGCCCACTACAGTTCACTCTATTTTTCAGAACCACACCACCTATACATCAAAAGAAAAGAAATCCTCTTACGCCATGCACTTCAAAACTTACATTATCACAATTATAACATCAATAACAAGGCATTTTAGCATTTAGTGCCGCAAAAACGTTGTCCTTTTTTTGAGTTCAATGTTGCATATGCCACGCTAGAAATATATATGTGTGTGAAACACAATAATTGCGCACCAGTTACAATGCATGCGTTCTGTGTTGATCTTCATGTGTAACTACAAGTTTTCCCGCTCACTTTAGTCCAAGAGCCAGCTCAAATAATCTGCACGCCATTAAAAAAATCTGAGTGCCAAACTATTTAATCCATGTCCCAAACATTTAATCCATGCGACAACATATTTAATCCAGGCGCCAACCCAATGAGGCCACGTGGCAGTGAGTTTAATCCAAGTGCGACCGTGTTTAATCCAATTGCCAATGACTTTGATTCAGGTGCCAGTCAGTTTAATTCATGCACAAAAATCAGAATACGGGGCGTAAAAACAGCAGTGCAGCTGAAATGCAGTTCCTACCGTATAAAAGACAATAGTCGGAAGGTAGAATAAATCATTATTATTGCTATTCGCCGATGGTATTCGTGAAAAAAAATTACTGCCGTGGTTCGCTTGAGCCGTGTTCGGAGTGCTTATACTTTTCTATGTGGAAGTTTGCATAATGAGTGCTTGCCACAAGTGGAATAATTTTAATGAAAGTGAAATAAAACGCAGGAACATACACCGAATATATTACAGCGTCATAAAATTCCGTGTCCGTCACTAAAGCTCATAATTGGCTTCGGCACACACTACAACATTACATGACCGGGACAGGTCGTATAATGCGAAGGACAAGCTTTGTTTATAGGAGGGCTGGAATACATATCAAGCTATTGAAAACCTGGCCGTGGGCAGTGATGGGTCAAAGGCAGCTACATAATCAAGAAATTAGGAGGCCGTCGTGGGGCAGAGTGAATAAGAGATAATTCCAATATGTCTTTGTCCTGAAGTGCACATAAAACGCAAACTGATCATCCTGATGTGGCAATGAAAGTTATATCCAACATTATTGTTTGCTCTTATCTTGTTATTCAAACAAAATAATGTCTCCAATAATACGAACGGTACTGATTGTTCATTTAGCTTGGTAGTATTGTGACATACTGGACCAACGTGATGAAACGAACACTGAGGAAACAAAATGATAATAACGCGCATCTGTCTTTGGGCCTAGCTTTTTTTTTTCTGTACGTGTTTCTTTTTTTTACGCGCCATTATGACTCTCATCGCACATTGGAAGATTGCGCAAACCCTGACGAAGACCGGTCCACCGATCGATACCATTGGTAATAAAATTAAGGCAACCGCCAAGAGCATCGAACGCGTTATTTGAAGGTCGTAGGTTCGATTCCTGCTCACGGCTGGTTATTTTTTCACCCACTTTTCTTTCTTCCTATTTACATTCCATTGGTTCTAATAGCTTCCCCTACACATTCCTTGGCATTACTGTCTGTTAGATCTCATTAATATTGTGTCAAAACGCGGAAAAACGAGCCCTTAGGTATACACTTCTTTCCCTTATATATATATATATATATATATATATATATATATATATATATATATATATATATACATATATACATATATATATATATATATAAGAATATATATATATATATATATATATATATATATATATATATATATATATATATATATATATATATATATATATATATATTTATACATATATATATATATATATACATGCATGGTGGCGAAAATGGCCGTAGCGTTGCAATAAGTCAAGTAGATCCTCCAAGAGAACGGTAACAACGGAAGTGTTTAATTCGACAGTTTCGGCCAGAGTCTGGCCTTCATCAGGACTCCTGATGAAGGCCAGACTCTGGCCGAAACTGTCGAATTAAACACTTCCGTTGTTACCGTTCTCTTGGAGGATCTACTTGACTTATATATATACATATATATATATATATATATATAAGAATATATATATATATACATATATATATATATATATATATATATATATATATATATATATATATATATATATATATAGGGAAAGCAAAAGTGCCTACTACTAATTATAATTATTCAAGAAATGCAACATAGCCACCCGTGAGTGTATTTATTAATACAGAACTGTCTTATAGGACTCGGAGACGAACGTTCAGAAGTCATCTACACGCGAAGCAGCAGCCACGAAAGATAAATTGTGCTGATCGAAGGCCGCACTGTCCACGTGCTGTGTTTTTGCATGGAGTGGCGAGCCGCATCCAGCAGCAAAGAACGCCTGCAGGCTGTGCTTGATATTGTCACGTTTGCGATCTGTAGGCCTCTGCGTCACTAGCTTCGAGTAGCAGCGGGCATCCAGCAACCGATCGACTGTGCTTGCACTGATTTTTACTCCTGGCATATTTCTTCCTCCAGGGCCTCCTTTATTTGCTTTATTGTTAATGTGCAGTTTTTTTTTTTTGACAATTCATCTCAAAGTACTCACGACGTCATGTCCAAACTTCCTTTTTGAACTCCCACCATGCTTTGATGTTTCTCTGTCGGTAGCAGTAATCGATCTTGCTGTTCTAATGTTGATGCCTAGAGCGTCGGCCAGTTGCTTTAGGTCACCGCCACGCCTGTAGACGTCCACAATCCTATAGCCCTGTCGACCAGCGATACTCGGCTGTTTTTTTTTTCTTTTTGACGAGGTTTGTCGATGCTTCAAAGTGTGGTCCTCGTTTGCGTCCAGCCATGACTTCAAGCAAAGCTCTCTTCTCGTCTGCAAATGTGGCCGTATGAAAACACACGTGTTTCAAGCAAACGAGCTTCGGCAACACTAAGTGTCGTCTGTTACATGAAAACCGGAATATCTCCTTTGATGCTTTTATAAAAACTTAATTCCACATAAATCCAAATAAATGCAAGTTTAGTATTTTCAAGTGGTTATTTCTGATTTTGAGAACGAATGAATGTCATCTGTCGGTCACTGTTCTCACTGGGCTGAGCACATGACTGCGAAAGCCTCAGCGAATGAGCAGCCAAATGCCGTCTGCTGAGCATACGAGGCGAATCTATGCATATGCAATGGTGTACATGGTTAACCGGAATAATGCAGTAGCGATGAAATATAGACTAACATAGACCCTATGAGCAAATACATTTAGTACCCAAAATTGCAATTAATACTCACTGTTTTTTTTTTATTTTGAAGCTATGACACCAAAACGTTAAGGAGAAGTAGCACTGCGCACTTCATTTCATAAGCGCTAGCATGTATAGGTGAAGGAAAAGTTCTTCCTGTGACGTCATGTTTACGTTATTTTGACATTTATACTATATAAAGTGGCAAACTATGTGTTTCTAGTGCATGGATTAAACTGACTGGCACCTGAATCAAAGTCATTGGCAATTGGATTAAACACGGTGGCACTTGAAATAAACTCACTGGCACGCGGCCTCATTGAGTTGGCGCTTCAATTAAATATGTTGGCGCTTGGATTAAATGTTTGGCAAATGGATTAAATAATTTAGCTCGGCGTTCAGATTCTTTCAATGGCATGCAGATCATTTAGGCTGGCACTTGGATTTAAATGAGCGGGAAAACCTGTAGTTGTTTAATACAACGAACAACTACAGTTTGATGGCATTGCATTCAAGAAAAATTACCGTCCTCCTCGAAGCTTCACATGACGGCATTATGGCGATATAAAGAGAGTCCCGTGAGATCACACCAAAAATATGAAAACCGACAGTTCCAGCAAAAACACACTATTGCTTGATATTAGCTGCAACTGCGCTTATTTGGAGTCAGCGTTGTTCAAATTTAACTACTATTTATTAATCCTAATTGGTAACTTTTAATCAATGCTTTAATCACTAACATGGCAATTTAAACTTGTAGGCCGCCTAAGTTAACATTGAAACGAAGCAGTTATCCCACGCTGCAATCTGCCTGGTTATCGTCTACAAGAAAAACACTATAAAAAATGAAATGGACAAGTGCTGGAGTAGCGCTGCTCAAGCAGTTCCAGGCCTTTGTCATGTAGGACGGTTCGATAGGCGTCGTCACTTTACTGGTAGCGAGATAACCGTCGGCATCTTCTTACGTAACAGTTATGCTCATCTGCTACTCGGTACAAATTTAATATTCGACTCTCTCCTCCATACAATACGAAAGACGAGGCGCCAACAGAGTAGCAAGTGCGCCACGCTGATTCCCTTGCTTATAAACGCCATCTGATAAGCGGCAATACCTAATTACTTTTAACAACGGAATCGCATCTAGAACATGTAGCAATGTGAAGCAATGTGAGATGTCAGTAAAGTAAACAAATAAAGAGCAGTCAAACGTGTCTAGGATACATTACGTTAAATCTAAAGGCTCACCATGCATTGCACAGCTGACATAATTTATAACAGTAGAGGGAAATGGGACAAAAACTTGAAAAGTGAGCAATCTGTCTTCCGTTTGGCCAATTTTATATTTTGAATATTACACTCATGTTTTCCTAATGACAACGTACGCTTCGTTTTCAAACAGTTTTATGATGTCCCCAGTTTTGCGCTATAGCTTTAGTCATAAACAACCAAGTAGTGCAAACCACTACCCTTCCAAGTAGAAGATTGAAAGTCAGTGCTGTCCACGTCTCCTTTTTTTTTGTGTGCTGGGCCTTCTTTCGCGCAGTTTTCTTAGCATCTTCTAAGCAGTTTTTACGTTTGTTGGGCATTATTCAGCGAGAGTTTCACAATGAACGCGGTCACTCATACGGAGTGTCTTGCCGTAATAAAGCAGCCATATTCATCTTCGTTAGCTGTCGCGCCTGATCCACTGAGAGTGCGCCGTGAAGCGATCTGAGGGGGTCACCTACTTGCGCGGGTAGTCGCAGGCGAGCTGCTTGCGGCTGAAGATGAGGTCGGATGGGCACGAGAATTCCCGCGCGTTGCCGGCCACGCACAGCACGAACTGGGCGCAGCCCGGAGCCGGATAGAAGGCGTCCGGCAGACTGGCGCACCCGTTGTCACCCTCGCACTCGACGCTCGTCGTGTTCTGGCAGCGACCCGCATCGAAAGAGCTGGCCCTGCGGTTGATAGACAGGTGAGAGGTTATCGATGTAACAGACTGAACCACCGGGCCACCCGATCCTTTCTGCCATCAATGAATGCTTGTGCTGTTTTTCAAACAACTGGTCCTGTGGTTGATGGACAGGGGGAGAGGTTATAGGCAAAATGCTCGACAACCTCCTCGTGCCATCCATGTTTTTTTTTCTCTCTCTCTTTTGTTTCTGTATCAGTGTACATCATTGTACGCACGAAGAAGACTAATCATCGTTGGTCTGAGAACCCGTTCATCCTCGTCGAGATTTTGCTGAATCACTTTAAAAAATGGATCACGCTGTGAAAAAACCTGATACTCAGGGTGGCAATTCTTTCATCCTTTGTGATTCTTATTAAAGATTAGCAACACCGAAAAAGCGTCTATACAATTTTATAGGTAAACAGCTTGCTCACCCGAGTTAGCATATAGGTTGACAATGAACACTATGCTCAAGTTGGTAATAACTATAACTGCGTACTATTCATGGTTCCAATGCTAGTGCTGTTCAGTTCATTGTGCCAAATAAAAAAGTTATTTTAACGCAACCAGAAAAATAAGGGACTCTATAACAAGTATATTCGCGTCCATAAAAGCACCTTACTTTCAGATATTATCAGAAAGCCTATTTAGAATTCACGTCACTCTATAGGTGCCTGTAAAAATAATCTCTAACCAGTCGTGGTGCCCGATGTATCAGTCAAATGAATTTTGGCCTCACATGCCGGCGAATGACTTTACAAAAAAAAAGCTTTGGGAATTTAGTCCCAAATTCACGTGCTTTCAAAAAAAAAGATGTATCAGAACGTAGGATAGTGTGTGTTTATATTTATTAGATTAGAGGGAAAGAAATAGTTGGCCATGTGAGAGTAATTTGACGGAATTGCTCGCCTACTTGTGTCTGAGTCAATTTTTGCGAAGACTCATAGCGATGGGGCATCAGTCATGTCGCTTTCTAATGCAGTACTACGCTCAGATGGCGTTCGCTTTGATTAGGTATAGCCTGATGGGCACGCCCCTGATCATACCTCTTATAGCTAATGTAAGCTAACGTGCGTTATATAATTAACAAGCGGCCTACGTTACAAAAACGCATTGTGATAAAGATGAATCCGTAGTCATCTAAGCTTATCATGTCGTCCATTACATCTTACTCAAGCTTTATTGGCACTTTCACGAATAGCTCTTTAAAAAGGCGGGCTGTACCTGTGGGCAAAGAGCTTCCTCTCTTTCGCCGTCCTGGCACCGGTAGTAACGCCTGCATCCGCCCACGCGGTCAGCAAACACGCCGTCCGCGTCGCATCGCAGCTTCGGGCAGGCCACCTTCGCCGCCTGGCGGCATCGTCCCAGGCGCCAGTCGAAGAGAAGCGAGTCCGGACAGGTTAGCGATGTCTTGCGGCCACCTGTCAGATACGGTTGAGACTTTATCACGGTGCACTCAACATCGTAGTGTGTTGAGGTCTGAACTATTGTAGTAAGCTGTCAAGCAAGCTAAAGCAGCGTTCTTGAAACATTAGAAACAGGGCATTAGAAATATTCCGCGCAGCCCCTTGCGAGCCACTACACCCGTTGCGGTAGAAATGAAAAAATCATGGTAAGGCTGAGAGGCTGGCATGAATGTTTGTGCTATACACTCCGCACGAGAAAAACGCTAAGAGGTAAGGCGACTGTGGATCAACAGAGATGCGGTAGCGCCAACGGTGATAAAAAAAAGTGAAATGAGGTGTTGAACCTAGTCATCTTTCGGATAGAAGTTCTGATTTTTCTTGTTACAACAGTAACTATTTGGCTACGCAAGAGAGCCATATTGAGGTATGCTGAAAATTGCCTATTGTTGGTGTTCGCCAGAAAACAGCCAAAAGACAGATGCACTTGCGTGCTTGCAGTAGATGCAAATCAGATGCGTTGCTACCGTCTGAATCGGTGCTGCTTGCTTGATAATGAGGCGTGCATCATTATAAATTGTTCCCGCATCATCTTTAATAATTTTTTCCTTCCTTCGAGATAAGAAATTTGCCGAGACGAGATATTGTGACGACGCGGTACGCGTGAATGGCAATAAAACGGAGGACCACAAACGAATAGGCTCTATCATACTCTGCTAAAAGGCAGCCACGTCTTCTTTGTTTCTGTCCTGGCCAAGTGTTTGTTTGTTTGTTTCCCAGGACTGATGGCTCATACCCATTCAGGGGGATTGGCCAAGAAAGCGTAGTGTAGTTTTTCTCTGATCATTTCAACTATGTTTAATGAATATTTATTATAATATGACTAATTTAAGGAAAACCACATAAAAAGAGAGCAAACGAGCAAAAGAATAGAAAAGTCAAGTTTAGAAATTTTGAGATTTCAGGTGTTATGAATACCACTCAGCTGCGTTTACTTCACTTTGCCATTTAGAATTTTTGGGGGGAGTACTAAATAATAGTTATTTAGCACTGCATTATTCACCATTCAAAAAAATGGCAGATCCCACGTACAGTGGGAATCAATAATATGCAAAGTACGAATGAGAAATGTTGATATGTCGCTTCAAAATTAGCACAACGTTACGAGGTGAAGGTCAATGATGCCGTACATTAGTTCCGTGTCAAAAATATCATGTTTGAATGTGTCATTTACCTTCGTCATGTATTCACGTCACATGATAACAATTTTATTATTTGTGGAGCTAGCGAAACGACCACGAGCACGCTATGAGCGTCGTACGTTGTCATGTTCTTTCATGACACGCGGGTCAGGATTGTCATGTTTGCACCAGTCATATATTTCGTCATCCATTGACGTCACGTAACACTATATTTTGTATATGTGGAGCTAGAAAAATGGTCGTGAGCACATCATGAAGGACCCAATATACTCCATTGTAGCGTTGACGCGCGCGCACGCTGGGCACAGCGACGCTACGTTAGCAAAACGCGAGTACTCTATAATCTGACACAAAGCACGACCGGCGCTACCAGCGTCCGTGGGCGAGGTCCGACGGCGACCGGCGTGAAATGCGACATGCTGCATTTCACACCGATGCATTAACCAGACAGCACTGCGTCTGCCTCTTTTCGTGACGGAGGGACGCTGGAGGCGCAGAAACGTGCATGCGTCGAAGCAACGCAGCGCGATGCGCGCCTACGAGTAAATGGCACGATCAGCGCATGGCATGGCAATGCTGGCGTGACGCGACGAAATGAAGGCCGGTGAGCACGCGCACCGCGTCACGTCGAAATGTATTGGCGCCTTGACGGGGGCATGTTGTCATGTTATCACATGACACGCATTTCATGATTATCATGTTTGCACCAGCCACATATCTTCGTCACTTATTGGCGTCACGTAATGCCAAATTTGGCATATGCGAAGCTAGCGAAACGGCCGCGAGCACATCATCAGTGTGGCATGAAGTCATGTTGTTACATGACACGCATGTTGGGATTATCATGTTTGGATGTGTCATTTACCTATGTCGTCAATTCGCGTTGCGTAATACCGAACTTGGTACGTGTGAAGCTAGCGAAACAGCCGCGAGCGCATCATGAGCGTAGCATGTAGTCATGTTGTTACATGACACGCATCTCATGTTTATCGTGTTTACACCAGTATCATACCTTCGTTATCCATTCACGCCCCATAATACTAAGTTCGGTATAAGTGAGCGAAACGGCCGTCAGCGCATCATGAGCGTGGCATGTAGTCATGTTGTTACATGACACACATCTCATGATTATCATGTTTGCACCAGTCACATACGTTCGTCCTCCATTCACGTTCTTTTATACCAAATTTGCTATATGTGACGCTAGCGAAACGGCCGCTAGTGCATCATGAGCGTGGCATGTAGTCCTTTTGTTACATGACACCCATGTCATGATCTTCATGTTAGGGCCTGTCGCTCGTGTTCGCCATGCAATCATGCCATATCATACTAGTTTTGCAACATGTTATGTGAACGAAACCACCGCAGGAGCTGCAGGCTGATGAAATGTAAATCATGACATTCATGACACACATATGATATTTATGTTATGACTAGTGGAATATATTCTTCATACAGTCATGTTATGCCATGCCAAGTTTGGTATCGATACCATTATTGAAACGGCCGGGCGAGCTAAACGTCGTTGACGGTTAGATAGAAAGATTCGCTCAAAGTTGCCGAAGTTCGCTAAGAAACGCTTCACATTTAAAGAAAGCGTCGTCCCGATAACACAGGCTCGTAAATCGGGAAAAACTACAGTCACTGAATATATGGCTTCATCCGTAGCACGCGACCAATGTCTAGCAAATGTCTTCGGCGCTTTGAACGCTTAGGGTCGTCGCGAAAAACGTCGTAATCAACCTCACTGATGGGTCAGAGAACTTTGTAAGGTCCGAAGTATCTCCGCGATAGTTTTTAGGAGAGCCCACGACGACGAATGGGTGTCCAGATCCGCACTTTGTCGACCATATTGTATAAGACGGGTCTGTGCCAGATATTGTAGTGCTGCAGGCCACAGTCTTGTTCGTCGATTGTTCGCAACCAAGCAAGTTACCGAGCTTTTCTACTCGCCGTGTAAAAACTTCAGCTCTCGTCTCATGGGCCTCGTTTTGATGGGGAGCACTGCGTCTGGCGTTGTTTAACGTCATGGCCGTAAACTTGACTGAATGACGTCTTTTGAGTTATCTCCTGACGAGCCGTGTGGTACGCGAATGTGACGTAGGGTTGGCTTTCATCCCAGCTCTTATGATCTACATCTACGCACACGCTCATCGTGTCAGCCAGGGTCCTGTTGATACGTTCAGTCAGCCTGTTTGTCTGGCGATGATATGTCATTGTCTTCCTGTGCGTGGTACCACTTTGTCGCAAACCGATGTTCAAGGAATCGTCCCTGAACGCAGTAACATTCAATTGCGGTCTTGACGTACGTATAGAGATAGACCAGATACTTAAATTGTCACCCGCTTAAAAGCTGCGATTTTACATCCTAGCTTGTGCCAGTAATGCATATATAACGGTAACATACCTCCATGCAGTGTTTCTGTTGTTACCAGTATGTTCGTCACATTCCAAATAGATATGCCACAATTGTCCCTGAACCACATGAGTAGTTCTTAATGTATACATGTATATCGTCGTCACGTGACTGTACAAAGCTTTCCACAACAAAAGTAACAAAATCACTGTCAAATGCTCAAAAATAAACACTGCACTTTGATAACATATACAAAGTTCCGGTGATGGCGTTTTTCCTTGCTTCGTCACATCGTTTCGATATGGCGAAAACACTGTTCCACCATTCAGCAGCTGCCAATAAAAAAACACATCAGCCTTTGTCGAAACACTGGCGCAGGCAGCCAGAATAACAGATTTAGTGCAAGCATATAAAAATGTTGATGATTGCGACAGGTGCATCATTCGAACGTTTACCAGCTGTCATAGAAATTAAACATCCCGCAAGCTGAATTCAGTTCTGTTATCAATCTTGACGCTGTCACTTCAATATTACGTGTTACAAGCACTATTCATCACTTTATATCCACTTGCAATGTACTCGCGTGTGCGGAACGTGCATTCGTGTGTGCGTGCACGTACGGACACGCTGTTTCAGTCTCGCTGTGTTGTCGAGTACCCGGAGTTGATTGATAGGTTAATTATTTCTGAATGCGTGGGACAGAAACAAAATGAAAGCTCACTTTCTTTGCTCAAACCGTACAAAGTTTTATTATGTTGCTCCTTTTAATTGATTGATATGTGGGGTTCAACGTCCCAAAACCACCATATGATAATGGGAGACGCCGTAGTGGAGGGCTCCGGAACTTTCGACCACCTGGGGTTCTTTAACGTGCACCCAAATCTGAGTACACGGGCCTACAACATTTCCGCCTCCATCGGAAATGCAGCCACCGCAGCCGGGATTCGATCCCGCAACCTGCGGGTCAGCAGCCGAGTACCTTAGCCACTAGACCACCACGGCGGGCATGTTGCTCCTTATATGCTGCTTAAGTATATCAGTTGTAATGCGTACCATAATACTTTACCCCATGGCACGATCATTAGTTTTACTTTCCGTCGGCCATCTGCCTCAGATGACCGTTTGCGCAAAACGTTGAAACCCTTAGCACTCAACTACCCTAATCCACAAAGCATACTTAATGTCCTATGTGCTTTCTTTTTTTTTTGCCAATGGCTGTAAGTGACTGTGCGAATGACTATAACGCACCTGTGTCCTTCACAGATGAATTCTGTGTTGAGGCAAAGTATTTTGCCTCTGGTAAAGCAACGCCAAAAATATTATTATAACGAGATATCAAATATTTTCATTCAATCTTACTCTGAGTGTGTTTGTTTACATAACAAGTTGCGACAATTTACACCTTACGAGAGTCTTTCTTTAGAAACCTCGAAACAAAAAAAAAGATTCCATCATTGCAGCTCATAAATCCAGAGAGCTATATGACCCATCAAGCTTCTATGAACGACTAACATGAATGTGACCAACTAGGTACCTGACCACTGCAAAATCCAGAGCAAGCAATCTCCTCCCCCCCCCTTTTTTTTTTGTTAACGGTTGGCGGGGAAAGTGAGGGACTTGCTCGGTCATAGACTGAAATCTACGATGTTGGCAGAAAAGCCGCTAGGAATAAAGAACGCACGGTAAACTGCAGCACGCTTGTGATGCATAGCATCAAAACTAATTCACAGACAGGAAAGCCAAGGGACGTACGTTAGGAGATATTACTTCTATTATATTGGTGTAAATATGAATAAAATGCACAGGACGAAAGGATATTTTGCCGCTGGCAGGGAGCGAACGAGCAACCTTCAAATAACGCGTCTACCAATGGTGTAATAGTGGGTCCTCCCGTCATCATCTGTATAGGGTATATGTGGGACATCAGCGAGCTGTCATGGTATAAGCACACATTTACAAAAAAGTGAATAGCTGTTAAGAAGCAGTTTATTTCATCATACGACGCAAACATATCAATGCAGTGTATAAGACCAGGGCGCATAGTTTACAGCTTTGCATTGAGCCCATGCGGGCTTAGTTCGATGGTCTATTCTAATCAGCCATTCTCCGAAAGAGTACAGGCTGCTCGAGATCTTCACGTTGTGTGCACTCGTTAAAATCATAATAACCTAAACTTTACTGGCAAGAACATGGCGACACATCGTCGTAGGCGCAACCAAACCATTGATAAGAAAAGGCAAGGCCTGCGCGGAAGGCGCAGCACAGTCACCGCGAAAGCTAGAAGAGCGGACTTTCAGAACCTTTTCAGAACACTTATTGGGTAACTACTGCAAGCACACTTGGTTGACACCCACTAGGCCCTTAATAATCAATTTTGGGTGGTAGTGGACCGGCATGCTCTATGCTATTTTTCGTCATTCTTCTGAGAAACCTGGTATCCACTAAACAAATGCAAGGAATTTTGTTGCAATTGTTCATGCGGTGGCTGACGATGATGAAGAATTATGTCTGAGGGGGTATGCGCCACAGTTAATGAGGGAACAAGAACAAATTTGTAATTGAAACGTCTTGTTTTGTTTGACATTGGTCAGTGACCTGTTTTATTCAACAATTTGTAATGGGTTGGAGCATTCGATGACCCACTCGTTACGCTATTCGCATAGTGTGATGACTGGCTGTTCTTTAGCTGTTTTAAAATGCTTTATAAGTCGTATTAACGTGATTGCTTTCCAGACATTGAGCCTGCGTAAGGCAAGTTTGCCAAATACACTATCCGTTATCTTTGAGCCACACCGCTTGATGAAGTGCCTTTTGATACGTTTTTTCTCATGCGTATGCACAGTCTATAGAGCACGCGTGCGCAAGATCGCAGCGCAGAACCTACCATTTCTTCGAGCTCAGATTTAATTAGAATTGCTGTCCACCTAAAAGACATTTATGAAAGGATGGTCTTCAAACCAGACTGGTATCTTGGTAAGGTGCTTGGCCTTGTCCCCTGTTGTGTATAACGCAATTTGAAGACCTCTTGGTCCTCTACTGAACTTCATCAATTGCCGACTGTTTCTTTAATTACGCTAAAGCGCTTATTGTCACTGTGATTGTACCTATATTCCATACTATAAGTGTCAATTTGTGTTCATTTTAACACACAATGACATAAATATCATGAACGAAACAAAAAACCGACATAGCTCAGTGGTAGAATATTGGGCTGGCACCAAGGGGACCCAAGTTAGAGCTCCACTGTGTCATTTTTGCTGTATTTCTTGAAATTTTGCGTCTTCACAACTGCGCGTGACACGAGTTGTGATCTTATTACAGCTTACTCCGTAAAAACGAAATTGGGAGTGTTACACGACGACCCTTGTGCATGTCGGTGGTTTGATTCTACTGCTTAAGCCCGGCGACATATTCAACTTGGCAAATTATGACATGGCAGTGTTAGTCAGCGCCACAAATAACTAGGACGGCGAGTGTGAAACACGTTTTGCATCCGATGCAGCTAACTATGGTCAAGCTCAATCCAGTGGCGTGGCCACCCGTACTGCACATGCGCTACAGCTGGCCGAAGCATTGCCAGAACGCGCTCCGGCCTGTGAAAGTCATTGTGTAAGACGCTGTAGTCTCTCCCCTTCACACTCTCTCAGCAATAACGTGATGGCGTCGAGGAACGAGATTCTGCACAAGCGCGGTGAGTGAGTGAAATGAACTTTATTTGCTCCTGGAGAAGTGGTCAGGCACCCCCCTAAGAGGTGTCCGCCGCAGTTGCTGGCCGCGTCCACGCCGGGACTGGAAGACCGTGGCTCTACGCCCGTTTTCAGGCCTCCTGGACTACCGAGTATTGGACTGAAAGTTCAGGGCTTTTGAGAGTCCGGTGAGCGCACGTGCTAGCGCGTGGTATGAATCAACAAGAGTTCAGGACGAGTTACAGCAAGAGGAACTACTGTGATTTCACGGTGTGCTCCGCTTGCAAGCACGCGTTGATATCAGGCATGGTGCCTGTGATGAACGGAACTCCAAGTCAACCCATGCTTATTTGCATGCTACTTATGTTTCCACTTCGTAAGAGATGGTGTAATTTTTTTTTTGTCTGCGGGTGTTGTGAAACACGTGGGTCATGTCACATCTTCGCTTTCTGTGTATTTCTTCCTCTGTCTCCCTTTAATGCCAGCCCCGCGAGTGGGCTAAGGCACTGGACAAGCTCTAGTCAAAGGGACACTAAAGAGGGAAACGATTTTTTCTGTTATTAGTCAATTCCCATTCCACAATTACTAAATCGGCGCTCTCGCAAAAAAAAATGCGCTCCGTGAGCGAAACAACGCGCACAAAAAGGCCGCTAGTGACGCCACCTTGAAAGCTCGGAGCAAAACTCTGTGACGACATAAATATTGACTGTGTTTACAAAGGCCTACGCCGCTCCTAATCAGTGAAAATCAATCACATTGTCTGCTGATGGAGCCAAAGAGTATACATATTAGGCTTCGGAAAATTTCGTCGAGCCAATGTCGGAAAAACACGACAAGTATACATTTCTATATTCGTGACGTCACGCGCACGAATTTCGGCGCGTTCGACGCGAGATTTAAAAGTGCTACTCTGACCTTCATTTTCTCCTGTGATAATAAGCCTCTGGTGATGAAATGAAGCACAGCACAGTTCTCAGACAACACTCTATCAGCTGGTAGAGCAATTCATTGTTTCACTGTACTGTCCCTTGAAACTTCACTGCGTTTCCCTATTTCCCTACACCTCTTCACTAAATGGAGGCAAGTTTGTGGATGACGAGGCCGAATACCTCGGCAGAAGAAGAAGCGGCGGCATCCGGAGCCGTAGTCCGGATAGACGCCGTCCGGCTCGGAGCACCTCTGCGCCTCCACGTCCGCCCTGGGCCGGCGGCAGTAGCCAGCGTGGAACTGCTGTCGCGGCGGACAACGCAGCTGGTGTGCAGCGCCTCCTCGGCAAGCCACGAAGCCGTGGCCGTCGCTGTCGGCAAACACCGAGTCCGGCCGGCCTTCACACAGGCCTCCTGACTGCGACGCAGCAAAAAAAACAAGTTTTTATAGTTTAACAAAAGCTGAATCATTCATGCGCTAGAGATACGAACATATCAGTCATCGCTTTATATATGAACGACAATTGGTTCTTTGGTTCATATATGAGAGGTGTTTGCTCAGATACTCTTGTGTCATAATTGCTACAGTCCTATTAGAGATGACAACTAACGTACCTTGTTCTGCTTGCCCTCATTGTTTGTTAGCTTCGTTAGGTTGAGCCCAACAAAGAAACAAACTCGTCGAATTGTTCGTTTGGCTGTATACCTCACGTTGCAGTGATACCGTCTTCCCACTCTGAGTAAATAAGAGTTGTCCCCACATTTTAATTGCGCAGAGGAGTCTTCCTGTTGCTGAGGAATATTACGAAAAAAATTTCTTTGTTCATGAGTAAAGTTCTTGAAATACAATATACTTACTGAACTCCTCATTGGGAACACTTACCGGCAAACGAAAAAGTGGAAGAGTTTTAAGTTTACATGTTGACCTGCCGATTATATGCATCAAAATTTTTTTCATGGTGAATGTGTGGCAGCGAGCCACAGAAAGTGGAATATTTTGTACTTTTAATGGAAACCCTCGAGCAATGCCCGAAGGTAGTTTTCAAAGTTTCCAGCTACGATTAGCAGCTCATGATGAAAACCCGACAATAACCTGCATTATGCATACTATCCTTCTCCAATATTTGGTTATACGAAGACCAATCAGCATTATAAGTATTGTTCATATTTATACTATGTACAGTTATGTGGTAATCAGTGCGGAATTACGGAGTTAGCCGCACGTAATCGGCTAATGCTTTCATAAAAACCAAATCAATTAGAGTTTACGTGCACATTAAGGACTTTGAACTTGAGCGCAACATCGTTGCAAATAATTCTTGTGCCTAAATAAGCTCACAAGTTAAAAAATTTAATGCAATAATGCCTCATTATTAAGCGAATAAAAGCTTACACGAGATGTCAAATTAGTCAACTCATTTGTTACGTCGTAGCTGAGTCAACTCAGTCACGATGTACCAATTTCACTCCATTCTATCTTTCCCACGTTCAGAGGTAATCAGGATAGAAACATTATTTCCACGGAGCTATATTTGTAGTGTCTTCTACAACTTGAAACTTCATTGAAGTAATTGATGCCATATAATCAGCCGCAAATTAACAAGTGAATGGTGCAAATTAGTTAGGCAGGATGCCACAGGTTGTTATTTAGAAAAATAATGGGTTCAGCCAGTTTGTAACAAGCATGCACAATAAAACGCATGCAGATTTTTGAGAAAGCAATGCTTGGAATAGTCGATAAAATAGTCATATATATACTGATGTAAAATTGCTTCACTTATATATACTGCACTAAAATCCCACAATGGCTTTTAGGTGGGCTGGTTGTTTCATGAACATAGTAACAGAACATTGTAGACAACAGGGCAATCAGGGCACAGGACACAGTTGACAGAACACAAGAAACAGTTCACAGCACACAGTTCACAGGATGCACTCTGCAGGACCCAGGTCACGGGATAAAGTTGACAGAACACACTGCAGGACAAAGTTCGCAGGACACAGTTAAGCAACAGTTGACAGAACACAGGACAGACAAAGCTGATAGTCACCTCTATGTCCTGTGCACACATCGTTCCGCCTTCCGAGCTGTTCTGCGACAGTGTTAAAAACTGGGATAGCAGTGTTCGTTTCTTAGTTTCCGACGCTTTTTCGGCACTGTTCATCACTGAAATATGACCTTTGCCTGAGCGCTTAAAAATATCGCTCCAGATACACAAACGAACACGCATAGTTTAAAGTGTGCATGCTTCGACTGGTATATCACCCTGCTTTAAGTACTCGTTCTACTGCTTCGGCTTAAATTCGTCGCGGTAAATGTACCACTATAAGCTGGGAGTAACTGAAACACAAGAACCACACGCCGGGGCTTACCTTACGTCCGAAGTAGAGGAAGGATGAATGAATAATTCACAGTGCGCGCATGACAAGGGCGGCCTACTACGCTGCTGGAGGGCCAGCTAGCGGTAATGTAGACACGATGTAACGTGGCCACGCGCACAGCCTGTCTCGAAGGAATGGGGCCCATTCTTTTGGCCGCGTACTACATTCCGTGACCCGGCATTCAATTCGCGCCGCAGCATCGGTTGGAAGATTGCGACGTTGCGTAGGGGCCACACCTGTAGGAGTCGCACAAGCTGGTGCATTACCGGTTGCCTCGGGCAGAACAGCAATCTTTTTGGTCGCGTCGGATGTCTCACTGCCAGGCCTGTTGAGGCAAACCCGGTTTCACATACCGCACCTTCGCGGCACAGGCGTAACCATTCGATGTAGTATACAAGCTGTTTAGCCCGTCTTCGTTTTACACGGGTCAGGGTGTTTTCACGTCAGTCAGGGCCGTGTCAAACAGGCTTTTTTTCTTCTATGCAGCCAGCCTCGCCATAACATATTACTCGAAAGCTAGGTGCAGTATTTTACCGGCAATTACGAATGTCGCCCGAATGTACAGTGGATGAACTTTGCATTGAATGGCGTAGTGAAAGTGACTTCGCCTATGTGTGTTTGAGCCTATTAACGCTTCCCATCTATTTTCGGTACGTTATTTGGAAAGAATAAAGTATGTTTGAATTCCAGCTCATGATATATCCCCACCAGCCTGATTTGATTTTCGCTATATTGGTCTTCGTTACAAAGTGCGTTAAGGTTAAGGAAACGAAGATTCGAATGGAGAGCAAGGACACAGTTACTGATATTCAGCTCGCATTCTTTCCGCAGCTGCACTGATCAATCGTCATAATAATAATAATAATAATAATAATAATAATAATAATAATAATAATAATAATAATAATATACTTCAGAAAGCTCACAGAAATAGCTACTTGGATATTTGCCTATGAAATGGAAGAAGCGACAGAAGGGTATGGCACACATGGCAGCAGGAGAAGAGGATTGGAAGGGAACAGAGAAGCAGAGGGCGCGGAGGTCAACCAGAAGAAAATTCGTTTGGTGACCCTGCAGCGCGGATTGGAGAAAATGGAAAAGTGAGACATAAAAGACAGAGTGAGGGGGGAATAGAAGAAGAGAGAGAGGAGCATTGCATTTTGCAGTACCGTAGAAAATCTGAGGCATCCGTAAGTGGTGTAGGAAAAGACGATTGGCCAATTTCCCTGGGTGGGTCAGCCCAGGCACGTTGTCTACGGGAAGGCGAAAAGTTGGAGTTATATTCGTCATTCTTTGTTGCATTCGCCTTGAGGAAGATGGAAGTCTTGTTAAGGAAAATAATTATCGGCGTTGACAAAGCAAGCTGGAGGCAACGAAATTTTTAACTTATACTGTAACGACTTAGTTACAGCTTGCCAAGGCACACTGACAACAACATAGACGTAATCAGCGTTTTCCTCTTCTACTTTACTGTCTGAAGTAAAAGCCTAGATTACTGTCACTACATACGAAGAATCGAGTCTCACTTATAGACCCCCAGTGGTTACGGCCGAAACCAAAGTTGCATCGGACTGAGTATTGCTGATATATCAGTTAAGGTATTGCAGCCTAGACTAAAAGAAAGTGAATTCAGTGCAGTCTTTATTACGTTGCGGTAAACAAAGAAAAGAGGAGGTGACCACTCCTGGTCCAGCTCAAGATAGTCTTCGCCCATCTGTTCACCGTTAACATAAGACACTCCTTTTAGGGTTTACCTAATCTCGATACCAGTGTTTTTATTGCTTCGACAGGCCTTGCCACTCTTTCCCATCATGGCTCTTTTCCTCCTCCTCACAAGCTCTGAGCGACCTCCTGCCTGTGTGCATTTATTGCAAAGTTGCTAAGACAATTTGGCACAACATGTGCGCAGGCGCCCTCTAACTCAACACTAGAAGTGAGAGCTAGTTCGCATACCACGCCTGAGATACGTCGGTGTTGCAGCCCTGGCGGCTTTACTCTGCCTTGCCGCCCTGAGCGAGCTGGAACCGTGGTGCCGGTCATTAAAATAACAGGAAACAAGCTGGCACTGTCATTCCGAGTGGTTAGGCTAAGCTATAGGAGTTTTGCGTACATCGCTATCCTCGCATTGGACCACGAGTCGCCGCGCAGCAGCCCTGAGCCAGAGCTTTCCTCTAAGAAGCAGTGGCAAGGTCACGCGACCGGAGTTACGGGAAGCTGCGGCTCGCCGCGCCCGAAACGAGCCGTTCGAGGGAAGATGTTTGCGCTCAAGAAGTAAGCGCACAGTCCGTGCAGAAAGAGCGCCCGAAAATTAGTTGCATAACGCGTAGTGCCACCTGTCTGTTCTGCGCGATTGACATCCGAGCCGCAGAACCTAACAGGTGGGCTACATCCATAATGATGCCATTAATGTCCAATCACAAGGCTCCCGTTGAAACGCCAGGATCGAATTTTCCCCTATACAAGGATACAAATACCTTTACGTACTCAAAGTATTCTACGTACCAACAAGCGTGCCTAGCCGCTCACTCCCTACCAAATTAACGGAGACAAGGTCGCCCATTTTTATGGCGGAGGAAGCACCAGCACCATTTGAGGAAGCACCAGCACCATTTCCATCGTAAGCGAGTCTGTTTATCACATCGTGTACATTGTAGTACTTTATGCATCAACGAATGAGGGATTACTCTCGTTGTTCCAGTTACTTACCAGACCAGGCTCCAGACACATCACCAAGCCGGCGGAGGAGACCAGCAGCCAGCCTGCGCGTGAAGCATTGTATAGTTTAGATCCCTTTTGACATCTGCTTGTTTACTTTACTCGCACGTATTGCACGTTCAAGCAACTCGGATAGAAATCTCAAAGTGCCACATTTTTTTTTCAACCAGGGCATGCGAAGTCATCAAAACTTCGAAAACTTCTATCGAAAGGGCAGTAACGTGCTTGTCCAAAGCATGTCGTTTGCGAATAACGACTTTTTACACTGTAGCTACTCATGAATACCTTGAAGCGCAAGCTATGCTGTGTTCCCGCGCCTGTCTCGAGTCAAACATACATACAGAAAAGGCACGTGTCTCTTCGATATGCATGTGCCTTGAACACGTGCACTGAAAAGTAGTGATCCTACTTGCGAGGAAACATAATTCAGACATAGCTTTACGAAAAGTTGACAATACTGATTTTTTGTGTGTGTGAAAGCGCAATGAAATCGTTCCAACTACGCTTTCTAGCACGTTAAAGTGCAACACATTTTTTTCTTTTTACAATCATCAACATAGGTTTTCGGTTTTGATTTCTAGACCAGTATGCCAGCTGACGCATTATGTTCACATGTAGCCCTATCTTCAATACCTTTCAAGGAGTCAAGAATTTGCTCACAATGAAAAGCATAAATGCTCAATACGTGAGAAACAATCAAGCACTGGTACATTCAAACACCGCAAGCTCATGCGACGTCCACTCCCATGCAACAGTGACTGCCTCACACACCGTGTCACACTAACATATTACTTTATCGTGGCTCGAAACATATTGCCTAAACATACAGAACTATGCATTCATGCGAAACCATTAAGGCATACAAAGCAATCACTGTCCTATTAGGCTTTTTCACTAGTGTCGAATAAACAATATGTGCAATGCTGAATTACTAAGTCCGCTTGCCGGAACGCCACCGTTATTGACACCCCACGTTCACGAATTTTTCAACCTTTTTAAGCTTACATTCCCCTGAATTTCGGCTGCTTCTTTTTTTGCTTGCCTTGCCCGATGATTCCTATTCCAGGACAACTAACGGGGCTAAACATGATTATTTCGCTTTATGGATACGCTGATGCCCACCAAAGTGATTCACATTGCATCTCATAATAAAAGAGCCCGCTTTAACCAATTCGCCAACCTGCAGGCTACCTGTGCGATTCGTTGGCAAGACAAAATGCATTTTTCAAAAAGTTGCTTTCTAATGGTTTCGCAAGTGCAAAGAAAAAGCATTGCTACAAAAATTCGACCTTGAAAGAGCACAAGTGCGTATTCGCTAGCGACGACGACCACAACGAACATCATAGTAACACCTCTAATGAAAGCGCATTCTCACTTTCGGGTACATATGTTTTTAGATGATCTCCAAAGATCAAGAGCATAACTTTTGTTCACCCTACCTTGTATAAAAAACAAATACTCTTTGTGAAACTAAGCAGTTAGGGGTGAAACAACCTCGAGCTGCACGGCCTGTTCACCACCTTCTTGCTTTTGTAAGCGCACTAGCCGCTGAGTGTGAATTATGTAGCCACCTCTTGGCATATACCTGAAGGACACTTTAGGCAACAAATGCGCGCGTTTTCAACTACACTGAGCAATTCGGTGTCACACAGATTACTTAAGAATGACGCCAACGCACGCAGATGCAGGTAGCGTATAGGTCTAGCAACACCAAAAATGAAGGCTCCGTTGGTGCGCCTAAAGCATTCAATCGAGATCTTTAACATAGCTGTTGATACCAGACGGCAGATGTCAGCCTTGTTACTACGCTCGCATTCTGAATAATTTCACTGTCGTTTGCGTTATGAATTTTGCACCTGGGTTGTTGCGTACTGCGAATATTGTGGTCGCATTGAAGATGATGACGACGATAACGATGACACGGGTTTTCTTGTGGCGTGAAGCCCAGGTATGGTCAAGAGGATGATGTGACAGAGCTGTAGGCATTTTACACTGGAACACTCTAAACCACAGCATCGAGTGGTGCAAGCTCTGGCAGAAAATTCTAGCCTGCTGTGTCCTCAGCCTTAAATTGAATGGCGTATTATACAGCTGCTCGGAACAACACAGAGTACAACTTACAAAGCATGATTTGTGAAACACGTAAACATGCGTTGGATACCTTGAAATCACTCTTCTATCGCTGAGCATCCAGCAATGCGCATTAAACCATGAATTTCTTTTTTATATATTACCTGCAACGACAGCTGACCCGGCAACTTGAGGCGATGAGCCAGACAGCTCTTACTCGAGCATGCGTAATATTATAGAAACGGCTGCTAAATATTGTCCTGGCTCTGCAATCAATAACTTGAAATTTCACGTGTATATGTTATGAAGTAATATGCTCTGTTAACCCATACAGGGCGTATTTCCAGAATAACTATACATCAGTTCTTCATCTAAGGCGAGTGATCACTCAATACAGATCTGTAACATTTCTAGTCCATTTTCTCGAAACTTCTCGCGATTATTTATGTATGTCTCCTTTCCAGTTTACTAATGTCCATGTCTGTCTGTTATTTTAAACGATGAGTAAAAAAACCGAAACATACATCCATCCTAATATGTATGTAGTGCACAACTGGGTGACTGGTGTGGGCGTGGTTGAACACTGTAAGACGTGCCATCCTTCTTTGCCCCCTGCATTATTTTTACAACTTTTTTTCCCAAACTAGTTCAAATGCACATCCTGTAGTACGTTTTGTCTTTTTATTTGTTTCCTGTACAGCCTAGGCGTTGTATCAGTGGAAAGCAAACTAAAAAAAAATGACCCCATATTCTTACTTTGCGGGCGCCTATGAGGCAAAGCAGCCTTGGCACAAGGGCAAGTGACCGCACGATCTTCTTTTTTATGCATTCTGCGACCCCCCGTTACACGGTGAGTCGTCAGAGCAGCATGCATCACGGAAAACCGTGTTCGAACACATCGTATTTCTTGTTCGTTTGCTCAGCCGCATAGTAGATGGAGGCGGTCTCAAAACTGGAAAGGTTTTTCTTCAAGGTTGTTTTCTCTGGGAGAAACCGGAACGGCGTAGCTCGCAAAAAGGCACTGCGCTTTAGTCAGACGCGAAGCGCGAAATATTTTGATTTATTGCATCCTCTTTCTTTGACCTAGAAGAAGTCCGCACCATCTATCGAAAGCTGTATAAGTGGGTATATGGTGAATGACGCGTGGCGTTACTATAGGTTGCGAAAATGAACGCTGATCCTAAAGTGTAAGGTGCGAAAATTGCAATGTAAGCCTATTCGAGGAAAGCTGGAGCTATTGTTACTTTCACAAAGACGAAATGTACACCATGTGTACGAGATCACGCAGTGAAGCACATAAAATAAAGGTCTCCGATAATTTGAGAAGGACGACGCCAAAAGGATTACGTCGTGACTAGCTGCTTACAAGCTCCCTAGATGTGACCTCATTGGCGTACACAGAGTTGCAATTGAAACTGTATTGACTCTAACGTTCCATCATTTGAAATTCTGAGTTGCCACGGTCCAAGAACCTCTTCACAGCTTCACTAGGACCACGGCCCCGTACAAAATTACAGGGACAAGTTAGTTTAGATGGCAATAAAACAATGTGCAGAGCGGAAGTCAAAATACCGAGTCCAAATTTAACCGGACGTAAACCGTAAAATATGGCAATATTCTTAATGCGCAAACGGAAAAGAAACACCTCCATACGATCGTTAGTACAGATATATAAGAAATAAGGCATAGCACATTTTAGCAAATTACACACCAGATGTTATATGCATATATAACTATATCCATATACCCATATTCACATATATAAAAACCAATGCAAGCGGAATATAGAGAGATCAGCCGGTAGGCGATGTGCGACGTTTAAGTTCATAATAACATCGATATCATGGAAACGACAAGGCAATATATTACACATGATTTAAACTAAAGCTGTCTAACTATCGAACATTTTTATTTTGTTAGTTGATTCAGATAAAACTGTTCTTCAATAAACGGTGGCAGAGAAGAGGTTTAGAAGAGGTTTACGAGCAAGAGATATATTCTTCCATCACGGTAGAGTCGGGGAAGGAAACGAGCTCCGCAGTGGATCCAAATGTGACAATGACTCGATGACGTGCTTTTCGCCAAAGCCTCCCTTTGGGCCACAGCTTTCCAGGGCAAAAGTGGAAAGAAAACAGGCCTTCTAATGCATCATGGGGGGTTCTTCGTCGCCACTGTTGTCAGAAAATGACGCGTAGCGACAGCCCCACGGTTCGAAAAAATGGCGTGAGACGTCTGACTGAGTAAATGTATGGGGCATAATCGAAGTCCCCCTTTTGAAACGGCTAAAGGGAGCAGCAGTGAGCTGCACCCATTGCACATGCCTGCGTGCGTTCTGGAGAGCTGAATACCAGCAAGTGAAGGGAACAAAGATAAAAGCAAGAGTATGAAGAGTGCGAGAAGTGAGGACATGAGGCCATATAAAACACCGTACAGCTTTGTGGGTACTTGGTGACTTGGTGTTCAAGTGCATCCGCTCAGAAAGCCACACGAGCCCTCTTACAATTCTTGAGGACATCACTGAGCCGCCACCTGTGAAACCCTTCACTGTGTTGTAGTGAGTAAGTGATTAGTAAGTAAACTGTTTGCCATGTAAGCGATACGGCTAAGCTCTTTGTAGGGGATTGGGCAAGGAGATAAAAAATTGGCCCTGTATCTGCATTTTTCACTGCAAATGTCATCGAAAGACAACAGTCTTGCATGTGGAGAGAGTGAGCAAAACGTTTATTTAATGTTCTGTGCGAGCAAATCAGTGAATTGTATTCCGGAAGCGCTGCGTTAGAGACTCTCGATCCGTGCAGCGAAGGCGAACGAGCGCATCGAGGCACGTTTGACACTAGCGCCATCTGGCAGGTATCTTCGAAAACAAAGGAAGGCGTGAGAGCCCGCGGCAAAACCTGTGGTGTGCTGCCTTGCGCACGATCACCTTTCCCTGCCCTGCAGTAACAAGCTGACCAGTTTGAGGTCACCCGAGTTT